CGCTGCCATCAGCTGCATCGCCCGCGCGGGCGCGAGCGGCGGCGGCAGCGGCGACGCGCGACGCCCCCGCGCCTGGAGGCCGGATCAGCCAGCTCGAGCGCCTCTCAGCGCGGGGCGCGGGAGGCGATGGTCTGGTCAGTGGCGAACTCGAACCTCGAGGAGTTTCGCCAGGCGGCCTACGTCTCGTCTCGCTTGACCGGCGCGGCTCGCGAGCGCGCGGCCGGGCGGCGGCCCGTTGTCCTCGTCCAAGGCGGTCGGGCCAGCGGCGACCCGGCGCCGCCCGTGACCCTCCTCGCGCGCGGCCCGGCTGAACGGCGGGGCCAGCTTTGAGAGGAGGAGCGCGCGCGGGCGGCATCGGCTCTGGTGCGCTTCGACCGATTGCCGCAGGGGCTCATCAACGACCTCCTCACCAGGTTCGACATCCTCCGCAACGGGGCGCAGCAGGCCTGTCAGCTCATGATCGGCCACGGGGGCGTCAGCAAACTCTTGCTGCGCGTGGGCGCGTCGAACATCCAGCCCGCCATGGCCATGCGGCGTTGCGACGTGGCCCGCCCGACGGACGAGCCACAGCTGGTGCGCGTGATGGGCCGGCTGCGCAGACTTGGACGCATGATCGAAGGCTCGCCAGGCAATCTCGCCTCGGCCGCGCATTCGCCCCAGCTCCAAGCATTTCTCGCGGGTGCGCCCGCGCTCGAGCAGCTTTAGAGCGCCTATGCGCTGGGGTCGGGTCGAGCTGGGATGGTTTGTCATCAGCTCTTTGGGCGGCGCCGAGCCCGCCTGCGGCGCGGGCTGCAGCTGGCGCTGGCGCAGCAGCGCCGCGGGCGCCATATCCAGCAGCAGGTTTCCATTCTGGCACCGATCCCGACACTGTCAGCTCGTCGGCGAAGAAATCGCCGCCGCCGGCCCCGAACTGCGCGAAATTCCCACGGGGCAGAGCGGCGCTCTGGGCCAGTGGGCGCGCCGCCGATGGCGCCGCTGCAAGCAACAACGAGAGAAACCTTCGCCGGCGCTGGGGCGGGCAGAGGTAAAGGATGAGGCGAGAGCCAGACCTGGGGGCTGGGATTCGGCCGACAAGGCAGGGCGCTGGGCCCTGGCGGGCGCGGGCAACACGTGCAGCATCTCGCGGCGTCCGCGTGGGCCGCCATCCTGAGGCCGACGCTTGTTGCGGTGGCGAGGCCGTCCCTCTCGTTCTTTCCTGCGCCTGACCTGCGCCGCTTCCCTGGTTTCGGTTTCGGGCGGTGGTGCGGAGTTGCCCTGCAGCGTACCGGAAAAATCCTCCTTCCCCATGCCCCCATGTCGGATTACTTTGGAGGTTGCCTGGCTGCAAACACGGCGGGGCGGCAGCAGCAGCAGCAGCAGCAGGCGCGCAGCGTTCGCGCAGAGCGGGCCAGCGAAAGCAGGTGCCTTCGCAAGCGCGCAGCAGCCCTAGGCATACAGTTGGACCGAGGCATAAGATCGAGGGCGGTTCAGGGAGGGTATCCTAATATTCTTCGTGTTTGAAATTGTTGGATGTTCTTGTGCATCCTGGGGAGGGTACCTTTGGATGTTCTGTGTGTTCTGGCCGGCGCAGGGTCTCATGTTCTTGGAGGGTGCTTTTCGGTCTCAGGTCCATTCGTACCAATATATGTTGCTACCCCGCCGCCGCCGCCGCCGCCCGCCGCCGCCGCTCGCCGCTCGCCGCCGCCGCCGCTCGTCATGGCGCCCAGCCCCCATCAACTGAAAATCTGAAGAGGAAAAACCAATACTGCTACCCTTGCCTCGTTTTCCTCTTTTTGGCCTTCCTGGGACCCTCTTCGCCACGGCTGGATTGGTTTCGAAATTTCGGTCGGAACGCATGGGAGGGGTCTGTGGAGTAGAGGTGTCGGCGCCTTCTCGTTTCCATGAGTTGGGTGCGGCGCGAGCGCCGTGGAGGAAGGAGAGAGGGGCCCAGACATGTGATGCCTAGATTGTTTCAATGCGCGGCCCCCGGAAGGCCCGACCCTCTCCCTGTAGGGCCGGTGTTACATCTCGCTCTTCGACGGTCCCGCCCGAGGCCCGGCGAGGCCCGACAGGTGGCCGAAAACGGCCAGAGACCGCCCGTCGTCCGGGCCTCCCAAGTGAGGTCCGAGCAGATGGGGGCGCAACATTGCGCCGCATCGCCGACGCATCGGAGATGCGGCTCAATGTGGAGCCCGATTTTCTCCTCCACACCGACTGCGCCAATGCATCGGCGATGTATCGACGATGCGGCGCGATCTTCCGACCCCACTTGTTCAGACCTCGTTTGAGAGGCCTCACAGAGACCGCCCGTCGTGTTTTCGCGACGGCGACCTGTCCCGGGCAGGCGGCGGCGGCGCGGCGGCCAGCGGCAAAAGCGGCCGCCGCCGACGTCGCCGTTGTCGTCGTTGCTGCCGCCGTCGCCGCCGCCGCCGCCGCCGCCGTCGTCGTCGTCGTCGTCGTCGTCGTCGTTGTTGTCGTCGTCGTCGTCGTCGTCGCCTGGCGCGCTCGCGGCAGCGCGCGCCGAGGCTGCCCGCCCGCGGCGCGGCCAGCGCCGGCCCCTTGCCCAGGGCCCGCGGCGGCCCGTCGCTCCTCCGGGGCGGCCCGGGCCCTGGCGCGGCTCGTCGAGGCGCGCCAGACGCCGCGCGCGGACGCTTTGAGGAGGAGCGAGGAGGGGGGAGGCGGAGGAGGAGGAGGAGGAGGAGGAGGAGGAGGAGGAGATCGGGAGGAGAAGGAGGGGGATGAGGAGGGGGAGCCTGTCACGTCTTCCGCTCGCCACCGCCGCCGTCCTGTCGGGGGTTTGTAGAGGGGGCGTCATCCCAAGATGGGGCTAGGGAACGAACTCAGCTGGATGCTCAGCGGGAGCTGTTTCGAGCGATTTTTCATCCCAATCCCACCTCTGCCCATACACTACTTCAGCGTACGTCCCCTCGACGCCGATACTGACCCTGAGATCCTGGCGTCTTAATTCTTTCCAGCCGGGCTTCTTCTCCCCTAGTCGGGCTCAGGGGCCCTCACATCACATATGAATTCAGCTCGGCCTAGGGTTTCATTCGTGATTGGTTCACTACGTTTCAACTTTTCCGAGATCTCAGGGGAGGCAGTTTTTTCTACAGAGTTTGACAAGCTTGCTTCCACAGAGGGGGGGGTCTTGCGAGGCACGGGAGGGAATCTGGATTTCACTCAAGGAATCACTGGCACGCCTTTCCGGCCCAGCGCTGCTTGAAATGGTGGCGGAGGGGGGTTGGGGAATGCAATGCAATCAAAATTGCCACAATATTATATATATATATATAACAGCACGCTCCATCGTCGGCGTCCCCTGAGATCCGAGCGATGAGAAGCGTTTACACCAAGTTTTGCCCAGTTTCGAGCTCCCAAACCCCGGCTCGGGAAGTGTAGCAGAAAGATGGGGTCCAGGGCTCCGATCGTGATTTTAACAATGTCGCATTTCTGTCGCGACTTCGGGTCTCAGGGTCGGCATCGTCGTCTATCGGCGTCGCTGTCGCCGTCGTCGTCGCGCGCCATGTTCATCAGCATGGTGGAAAAAGGGTCCTGGGGGAAAGGCGTCCTGGAGGTTCCTCTTTGACTCGCCGCGAAGAAAAATGGGCTCGGGAAGCGAGGTTTGCGTGGGCCTCTGTGGGCTCCGCGATTGCTTAGCCAAGGCACATCCCTGGAGTCCAGCGGCCGATGTATCATGGTGGGGTGGTCCTAGAGTAAGGGGTCTTCGATTTTTTGGGGGGGGCCCAGAGCAATTCCCCGGCCCTGAGGCCGACAGTAAAACGACGCAGAGCCCCTGGGGTCGAGGACCCGTTTCCACCAGCACCCTTTCCTTCATGTCAATCCCTTTCCGCTCGCTGCCGCCGCAGTCGCCGCCCTCACCGTCACTGTCGCCGCCGCCGTCGCTGTCACCGCCGCTATTGCTGCCGCCGTTCTGTCGCGGAGGGGGGGGGGGGCGGAGGGCGTTCAAAGGTCGTGAAACGGGGTTCCAGGTGGTTCACGGGCCTTTGCAGGGGCGTCGTCAGATAATTCGAATATCTTGGAGGAGGAGGAGGAGGATCAGGAGGGCGAGGGGACGAGGAGGACGACGACGAGACGAGACGACGAGACGACGAAGAGGATGCGGAGGAAAGCGAGGTCTCTCCATCCCCATCTGCCCCTCTCTCCTTCTCAGTATCTCACTCTCTCGCTCTCGCTCTCTCTCTCTCTCTCTCTCCCTCTCCCTCCTCCCGCTGTACCATGAACATCGTCCGGGCTCTGCACCGGGCCACGCACTGCACGCCCCCAGGGCCACGAGCTCTCCTTTCACCGCCGATGCTTGGTGATGACACCGCGACACGGGCGCCCAGGGATACCAGCCCTGATCGGCTGCTCGGCGGTCACAGTGCACCCGCACCGCACGCCAACCGGCCGAGGGGCACCAGCTCTGACACCGAAGGCCCTTACACAATTAATCGTCGATTTCCCCGAAAATATGGGAAAATATGGGAAGTGGGGGGAAGACAAAAACCTAGAAAATATAGGAAAATGGGGAATCCTGTTATTTGTTTGTATTTATTTGTGTGTCCCAGGGCCCCTTCACTTACTGCGCCGGCGACGACCCCATCCAGGATCCCAATGTCGCGGACAGTCCTGTGGCCGACCGCATCGAGGACCCTGGCGAGGGGGGTGGCTTCCTCCAGACCTTTGAATGCTCCACAGTCGCTGACAATGTCGAAGTGGTATCGGGTGCGCAGACGGGCCCTGGAGCGGCCTGATCAGCGCACACCCGCTCTGCGTTCCAACGGGGGCCCCCCCTATAGGCCACGCCAGGAAGGGGGTCGTACCACCACGCATGCGGCGCCTCCCACCTTGTGAGGTAGGCCTGCAGGGCGCTTGTAGCTTCGGAGCCTGGACGAACCGTCGTCCGAAGTGGTATGCAGATCTCCCTCCCTCTCCCCCCCCCTCGCCCCTCCCTCTCTCTCCTCCGCCTCCCCCGACGCCCGAGGGAGCAGCCTGCCTGGAGGCGGGCAGACCGCTCCGCGATGGAGGGCGCGAAGGTGTATGTGCAGGACCCCAGTGGGCTGAAGCTGGCCTGTGGACCTTGGCGACCAGCTCTGGGTCCCCCGCGCAGAATGTTTCCAAAGAAAATGAAATTATTTCATAAGCGTAAACGTTGAACGGTCCGAGCGGATTTCTTGAATCTGCGCTGGGCCCCCCTGGCGGCGCCTCCAGCGCCGCCCCTGGCGCTCTCCGCGCGCCAGGGAGGTGGGTTCCAGCGCAGATCCACAAATTCCAGACCGTCGAAAATTTATGCTTATCCTTTTTGTTTTTCTTTATCTTCTTATCCATGTCGCCGCCAATCCACGAGGTCGCCCCCAGAGTCTAGACCGCGAGGGTGGGTATGTTCGCCGCTGGTGGTTCGCGATTCGATTTCCAGATTCCAGTGAGATGTTTTTTCCCAACCATCCTGTGGTGTTGGGTCCTCGTTTTGAAGAAACGGTCCCCGCGTTCCTCCTCCTTCTCCTCCTCCTCCTCCTTCTCCTCGCCCTCCTCCCTCCTGCGTTCGCATGCCTCCCCACCACCCATTTCGGCACACCCCTCACACGTTTCGTGGCCCCATAGGCAGCTCCACCCAAGGCCCCAATGGCTGCGTTCGCATGCCTCCCCACCACCCATTTCGGCACACCCCTCACACGTTTCGTGGCCCCATAGGGAGCTCCACCGAAGGCCCCAGTGGCTGCGTTCGCATGCTCCCCACCACCCATTTCGGCACACCCCTCACACGTTTCGTGGCCCCATAGGGAGCTCCACCGAAGGCCCCAGTGGCTGCGTTCGCATGGCACACCCCTCACACGTTTCGTGGCCCCAGCTAGTGGCTGCGTTCGCATGCCTCCCCACCACCCATTTCGGCACACCCCTCACACGTTTCGTGGCCCCATAGGGAGCTCCACCGAAGGCCCCAGTGGCTGCGTTCGCATGCCTCCCCACCACCCATTTCGGCACACCCCTCACACGTTTCGTGGCCCCATAGGGAGCTCCACCGAAGGCCCCAGTGGCTGCGTTCGCATGCCTCCCCACCACCCATTTCGGCACACCCCTCACACGTTTCGTGGCCCCATAGGGAGCTCCACCGAAGGCCCCAGTGGCAGGGTTCGCATGCCTCCCCACCACCCATTTCGGCACACCCCTCACACGTTTCGTGGCCCCATAGGGAGCTCCACCGAAGGCCCCAGTGGCAGGGTTCGCATGCCTCCCCACCACCCATTTCGGCACACCCCTCACACGTTTCGTGGCCCCATAGGGAGCTCCACCGAAGGCCCCAGTGGCAGGGTTCGCATGCCTCCCCACCACCCATTTCGGCACACCCCTCACACGTTTCGTGGCCCCATAGGGAGCTCCACCGAAGGCCCCAGTGGCGTTCGCATGCCTCCCCACCACCCATTTGAGGCCCCACCGAAGGCCCCATTCGCATCGGCACACCCCTCACACGTTTCGTGGCCCCATAGGAGCTCCACCGAATGCCCCAGTGGCTGCGTTCGCATGCCTCCCCCACCATTTCGGCACACCCCTCACACGTTTCGTGGCCCCATAGGAGCTCCACCGAAGACCCCAGTGGCTGCGTTCGCATGCCTCCCCACCACCCATTTCGGCACACCCCTCATACGCTTCGTGGCCCCATAGGGAGCTCCACCGAAGGCCCCAGTGGCTCCCCACCACCCATTTCGGCACACCCCTCACACGTTTCGTGGCCCCATAGGGAGCTCCACCGAAGGCCCCAGTGGCTGCGTTCGCATGCCTCCCCACCACCCATTTCGGCACACCCCTCACACGTTTCGTGGCCCCATAGGGAGCTCCACCGAAGGCCCCAGTGGCAGGGTCCGCATGCCTCCCCACCACCCATTTCGGCACACCCCTCACACGTTTCGTGGCCCCATAGGGAGCTCCACCGAAGGCCCCAGTGGCGCGGTGCCTATGAGAAGAGGGGCCTAGTTTGCGTGCCCCCTCCTTCGTTTCATATCCGTGCGGTACTCGCAGCTGCATATGGTTGGGTCCTTCGCCAGGCGAATTTGCGTAAAATATGCTCGGCCCCAGAGGTCCCGACCCCCTCCCCAGGGGGACGTAAGCTTTCGCCCCAGGTCCGTTTCTCAGCGGCGAGCCCCGGGGGGAAGGCAGAGGGATCGGGTCTCTTCAGAGGGCTCAGAATGCCTTCGGCCTCCTGCGAAGTTGTTTCGAAGCCTTCTCCGAGTGCTTCTCAGAAGCCCCGCCGCATTCTGAGGGCTTTCTCAGCAGGCCTGAGGGCTTCTGAGAAGCCCCGCCGCCTTCTAAGGCGGCCAACGAGCACAGGTACTGCTGACGGCCGAACCGAGCTCCAGCCCCGTGCTCCTCAGGGGAGGAACAGATACCGAGACCGCTGCTCTTGCTGAAGAGCTCTCGTCGTCACGGCTGGATCCTCTTCGCATGTCTGGCCAGAACGCGCCCCAGGAGAGGTTCGCGGAGTAGCGGCATCGGTAATTTTAGGGAGGGGAGCGAGAGGCGGGAGGGAGCGGAGCACGGAGAGTGCCTCGTGGCATGCTCGCCGTGGGGTGACGCCGGCTGTGCTCCGGCACAGCTTCTGGCCAGGCCGAGCCTGGGCCCCATGGGCCTCAGGACCCCAGGCTCGCGTCGTGTCACGACGGAAGGTGTTTGGCCGTGCTCGGCCTCTGCGCGGGGGCTCTCTGCGCGCCCTGGGCAGTCAAAAGACAGCTCGGGAGGAGGAGCCTGCACTGGGGGACGGGTCGGGGCTTCGGGGGGCCGCGCACTGCAAACGCCAGGTCCTTGCAGTCCCAGGGCTCTGCGAGATCCCGCGCGGGAGAGCGGAGGAGGGAGAGTGCCCGCACCCTCGACTGCAGTGATCTCCGTGGGCTGACGCCAGCCTCTGCGCCGGCACCGCTGCTAGACGGGCCGTTCTCGCAGGGTCCCCCTTCCGGTGCTAGCGGGCAGTTTGTCGCCCCCGGTCCCCGAGGTCCAGCCGAAAAATCTGCGCGCTCAGGGGAGAGAGGAGGAGGCTCTGGGAAGCAGCCCAGGAGGGCTGTTCGGGCGAACCCCTGTCGAGGAAGAACACGCCCCCCCCTATCCCCCGTTCGCTCCGGCCGATCCGGCTCTATCTCCGAGGCGGGGATTTATCCATGGCCACCACTTGGGGGATCGATCTCCAGGGGACCTCAACAGGCGGTGGATCTATTCCGGCCCCAGGGGCCCCAAAATATTTCCATACTCATCGCCCGTTGGGATCCCGTGACTTCGGTGCAACAGGCGTTGGATATGGGTATATCCCCACCTTACAATTATGGATCTTGGCCGGCTCGACCCGATTCGATTCCGAGACCTACTTCTGCGATCCAGTGCGGCCCGTTGTTTTCATGGCGTGTGCATCCTGGTGCAGCCCGATCCGATTCGATGTCGGCTCCGTGGCGCTGCAGCCCGCTCCGACGCACGATCCGACCTGATGTCCCAATGCGGTGCTGCCTGATCCTGCCCTGGGCGCAGGGTCGGTTGGGCGCGCCCTCCTCTGAGAGTCGGGGGCGGAAAAGAGGCGGGTGATGACCAGGGGGGGGTGGATATCATGGCGTGGGCCATGATATTTCCCCAGATCTCATGGCGCCTCTTCTTGTTTCATTACGTCCCTGGCCGCCCCGCTGGGCCGCGCACATGCCGCCGGTCATGATTTGCACCCCCCCCTCTTGGACACCCCCCTCTTGGCCGCTCCCGAGAGAGATCCGGTCCGACGTCGCGAAAATTGGAACATGGGGAAAAGCATGACTTGATCCTCGGACCCCATCTTTCTGCGCGCCCTCGGAGGACGCGTAATGGGGTGGAATAAATGGGAGGCAGCGAGGGCTGCAGAGAAGGGACCCTTTGGGTGCCCCTGAAGGAGCCCTTTCGGGACTAGGAGAGGGGGCCTTTAGGGCGCGAGAAGGGCACCTTTCTCCCCCCTCCCCAATGCATTGCCCCCCATAAATTCGCGCTCTACGCTCGAAACTGGGCACAAACAACTGCCTGGCTCGACAAAGTTGCGATGCCCGGATGTCAGAAGCTCCGACCGCGAGAAGATGTGTCCACCGCTTCGAAATGGGGCCCTGGAGCTGCAGGGAGCCCTCTGCGCGCTTTGCGCAACGCGAAGCGCGAAGCGCGAAATTACGTAGGCGCCCTTGCCGCCCAGGGTGCGGATCGTCCATCGGGGGCCTTACCGCCGACTTATCGGCTATGTGTCGCCGGTCCAAGCTTGATGCTCCAACCCCTGAGCCACCCCCCCTCACGTCGCCCCTCAGAGGGTTGCTGGCCCAGAAGGGGCCAACGACGCATTCCCAACGCATAGGACGCTTCACGGAAAAAATGCGTCATATAATGTCGCAAATGTGTTGCCAGTTGCTGTGCAAATGCGCTGGCGCATCCTTCGCGTTGTGGATTTGTTGGGGATGCGTCGGTGTCACCCCTTGGCAGGGGGGCTGCAACTAGGCTCAGGCAGCGCACACGACTCACGGCCAGGCCCAGGGGCTGCATCTCAGGCTGGTCCTGGGCCCCAGGGGCTGGCCCGGCAGCAGCGGCCCGTCCCGGGGACTCGGCGCCCAGAGGTCTTCAGAACCCTTGCGGTGACCTCGCCGTGCAGTTCGGCGGTGAGCCCCGGGGGAAAGTGCGAGGGGAAGGCTTCGGGCCTTCTGAGAAGTTTTCTTCCCCTCTAAGACATTGAAACATTCTCAGAAGGCGCGAGGGCTTCTGCGAGATCCCGCCGCCTTCTGAGAAGGCCTGCTCCTTCTCACTTCCACCCTGCCGCGCCGCTGAGTTTGCATTCAGCGGGGATTCCGGGCTGACTGCATGGTTTTTTGGGCTTGGGTCGTTCTCCGTGGACGCTTCGGGCGGCCGGGGCCGGCCGTGCGATGAGGTCTTTGGGGGATCCGAGGTCACCGTGCAGTCTGTGACCGCACCGTTTTGGGACCCCCAAGACGTCGTGCTTGTTTTCGCAGCGTTTGCCCCCTGATGTCTCGACCAGTTCCCCGGTACTGGCTTCTCATCCTGAGCCGCTCTCTGCGGTCCTGGGGCCCGCGAGAGGCCGAACCTTTGCCCATGAGGAACGGGTGTCAGCGTTGACGGGTGCTGGCCAGTCTTCCCCGAGATCCTCTGGCTGTGCCAGGCTTGGAAGGCACGCGGGTCCGATCCCCCCTCCCAGCCCTCCGCCGACCTGGGCCCGGGAGCCATTTCGTGGCGGGCCCGTGGTCGCAGCATGGCCCTGGCTGGCGCGGGCTGGCGCATACCCGGGCCAGCGCGCCCCCGACGGAGCATCGTGTCAGGCCTCCCGCGTCGCGATTCTCTTGCGACGCTGTGAGGTCTACGGTCTGGGAGGGGGGCACGGGGTGCAGTTGGCGGTGATCCCGAGGATGCGTCTGCGGGCTGGCGGAGGGCAACGGTGTCGGCCGCCCTCGGGGGCGGCAGGTACCGCGTCCGGTTCGAGGCCTGGGAGGACGAGGGCGGCGCGGAGCTATCGGAGGACCCAGGGAGAGGCCATGTTCACTGTCACCCCCTCCACTCTGTAGCAGTAGGGTGGGGAGGCCTTTGGTTTTTGCCGTCCCCACCTCCTTCTCGTGCCCCTCATCTGATTACTTCATCCTCTTGCTCCGAATGTCGTTCCCCCGGCCCCTTGTCCCGGGGGAAGTCAGGCAGTTCAAGATGAGTCGCTCCAGAGCGTTCAGGGTGCTCTGGAACGGCCGCGGAGCCCGATACACCCTCCAGCCCGGCCAGCTCTTAGACATTCCCCGTCCATCTCGATCCCAATTTGCCTTAGGGCGGGCGAGGAGGAGTATCGAGATTCGCGGGTCGTGGCTCGAGGACAGATTCTTGAGCGTCTTTCGTCATTGGAAGAGGGTCCTCAGTGTCACGGCCGGAGTCACCTCGATCATCTGGCCGGAACGCACCCCAGGAGAGGTCTTGGTGTCGATCTCGCGGAAGAGATCTCAGACCTCAAGCGTCACGCAAAATTGGCGTCGGACCTTCTTCCAGAGCTGTCGACATCCGGTGGCTTGTTCTTCTGGCCCTGGGACCACCCAAGAACGATTTGGCATGAAGAAGCGGCCTCAGGGGAGGGGTCGGGATCCCCGAGGCTCCTCGTCACGAACAAGTTGCCACGTCCGAGGAAGAGGAGAGGATCAGGCAGGCATACGACCAGGATAAACCGTTGCAGAGCGTTCCGGCACACGCCCTCAGAGCTTTCTGGAGCGCTCTGGAGCGGCCGCGGCGCCCGATACTTTATCCAGAACCGCCGGATCTCAGAGATTTCCAGTTGATCTTGGTCCGTTGTTGTTCCCGTCGAGCCTTCGTCTTAAGGATGGGAGGCCTCACACCTTCAGCGTCGTGCAGAAGTCACGACGGCCGTTGCCATGAGAAGAGCTGCCCAGCTCGAAGGGCTGAGCCCCCGTGGACTGAAACCGTCAATCCGTGCATGCTGTATTGTTTTGCGAGGGGTTGTGTGTATGTGTGTGTGTGTGTGGGTATGTGTTTGTGTGTGTCTTTGTCTGTGTCTGTGTCTGTGTCTGTGTGTGTGGGTGGGGGGTCGGCACTGGCCTGGGTTAGGGGGCGATAGAGTGTGGTTGAATGTTGATGGGGAGCAGTGATGTCGTACATGGACAGGAAGTTTAAACCCTGCGGTGCAAGATCCCGCCTACAGACCCTGAAACTAATCTTGAGGGTGCGGCAATATAAGGGGTGTGAGTTGGGAGAAAGACCCGGCCCCCCAAATTCGTCACCCATGCTGAACAGAAAACATTGGTTGCTCGCCAGTGGCGTGGTCAAAATCCCCTTCAAGTGTGTGAGGGTTCGAAAATGTGTGTGTGTGTGTATATATACATATTTATAAATATGTGTATATATGTACATATATCTACATATGCATATTATATATAAATACACACATTCATATACATACACACATCCGTATATTCAAGACTGCATTGTCGCTTCGCGCCATGCGCCCTGTTCCTACGCTTTCGGATGAATAGGGCGCGCGCGAGGTCTGAGAAACACCAATGCAAACGACACGTGTTCCCTTTCGAATGCTCCTTGGAGGATGGGCAGGCGCACAGAAATTTCAGTTATGTTGGCGGTGCTGCCCATAATGTTGGTTAAAAAAGCAGATATGCGAAGTGCCGTCGGACAATGATGCATTAACTTTTCTGTGTGGGGCCTCCTTGTCCTCCTCCTCCTCCTCCTTTCCCTCCTCTTCCTCCTCCTTCTCCTCCTCCTCCTCCTCCTTCTCCCCGTCCTTCCCTGCCTTTTCCCTCTCCTCCCTCTCCTCCTCCACCTCCACGTCCTTCTCCTCCACCTCCTCCTCCCCCTCCTCATCCTCCTCCCCCCGAGGGATGCGGATAAACGTTGTGACATACGATGGTGGACAAATCGTGTCATCCTTGTCAGGGGTCCCCCAAAAGGGGGCGTCATCATGCGCCAAGATCGAGTGGCGCACGATGGGAGGCGTCGCGCTACTTTGTAGCGGGAGGTCGACCGAATAATCATTGGCATGCAATACACAGTGTTGTTTGCGCGAAAGCAGATCAATATGGTGGTATGTTTTTGGGCTTTTCCTCCGCGAGTGACGACGATGAAGATGCTGTGGTGTATTGATGGTGATGTCGAGGAAGATGACAGTGGTGATTATGATGATGATGACAACGACAACGACATTGATGGTGGGGGTGGCGATGATGAGGGTGATGATGACTCCTGGCTCACAGGGGATTGGCGGAATAGCATAAGGCTCTTACATGCAGCATGGTTGGTTTCACTCCCTCGCACGTCGGCTCGTCCCCCACGGCCATCGAACGGACTTGGGGCGCTGCCCCAACTCAGCGCTTGCGGATCTTGTTCGTCACCGAAGGCTTCTTAGTGACTGTCGACGTGCACGGGTACTTGCTGGTCTTCTGCCTTTGTGGCGCCATGAACTTGTGATTATTATGGTGGTCGGTGCCGCGTGCGTTCACAAGCTCGATGTGCTTGCCGCAGAAGTACATCACAATGAATATGTGACGAGACCGCCGTATCTCATTGAACGTCCTGGCGGATCCGCGGAGCCACGGAAAGAGCTGCTCTGCGGCTGCAGCGCTGATTTTGGTCACCCGCAATTTCAACTGCAACGCCTTCAGGGGGGTGCACGGGCAGGTCGCCGCGTGCCTGCGCGCGTGGAGTTCATCCACGCTGTAGTATTTCAGCAGGTCAAAATCGCGGTGCTTCTGCGCGCCCGGCATGAGGGCGCATGCGCGGTCCATGATCGGCGCGGAGCGGCAGCACCATCTCCAGCGCTTTGTGCAGCACCTCGTCGTTTTCGGGCTGCACCAGCTCGCTAACGGTTGCAATGTGTTGCGAGGCTGGGTCGACGACCGTGAATCAGTCGCGCGCGCGTGTTCTCACGCGTAACCGAGGGCAGCCTTCTCTTTGCTCAGCGCGCCCTCACTTTCTCGCGGCCGTCCGCGACCAGCTCGCGCACCCCGTCGCAATCCGCGGGGGAAAAGACGGTCTCGCGCAAGTGTTTGCTGCACTTCGCGAGTGCACGGATGACAATGTTCATGTGCTGGCCAAAGGGCTCGAACTCCTGCGTGCGCGCGCGGTGGGGCGCGGCATCGTTCAGCTGCTTGTGGAAGTTGGCGACGACATCCCATGAACCGCGCGTCTGCTCGCGTGGCAAAGATGCGCCCGATGACGGCAGGAAGCCGCGAAACAATATGCATTCATGATGCGTCAAGAACTTGAATTGCACCGGAAGGGTTGGGCACAGCGCCCGAACAGCGGGGCATTGCGCCCGCGGCGTTAGGCATTGCACCCGAAAGAGTTGGGCACTGCACCCAGAGAGTAACAATGGGGGGGGGGAGGACGCGAAGGGAGGAGAGGGGATAATGCGAGGAGGGGGGCGGGGTCCGCGAGGGGAGGAGGGGCAAGGACGAGAAGACGAATGGAGGGGAATGGAGCGCGTGGACAGGGGAAGAGAGAGCCAGAGACAACCAAAAACCAACAACGCATGATACTGCGCGAAGACCGCCGCGCGGCCTCCCTCAGATTCGGGGGGGGGGGGCGCGCCGCCTTCGGCGCCGCTGGCGCTGGCGTCGCCGTCGCCGTCGTCGTCGTCGTCGTCGTTTTCGTCGCCGTCGTCGCCATTGCCTGCAGAGCTCAAGCAACGCACCCCGAAAAATCAAAACCGCATGAGAGGCCAAAATACACATTCCAAAGGGGGGCCCCACCGGAGAGGTCTCCAGAAATATCCGACAGGAAGTTCCCGCCTGGGGGGCCCCAGGAATAATTTCACTCGAGAGGAAGCCTCTGCTGGAGAGGCCCCCGGCAGAAGCGCGCCAACTCAGGCCCCCGCCTGGGGGGGGCCCAAAAAAAACCCAAAAAGCAGCGAGATCGCCCCCTTCTGCTGCCGCAGAGAGTAACAAAACGATCGAGAGCTCCAAAAGGGGGCTCCTCCTCGCCCTCCCGAGGGCGGATCGGAAGACGAGGGCCGGGGGGGGGTGGGCGAGGAGGGGCTCTCCTCTGGCTCTTTGCGTCGTTTCGTTTTCTCGGGGCCGTTGGAGGGGTGGCAGGGGCTGCCCGCGGTTGCCCGGGGCCTCTCAGGCGGGGGCGCCCTTTTGAGCGGGTTTTGCGGGGGGGCCACTCGGGCGGGGGCTTACTCCGGAGTGGATTCGTCTGCGGGGCCGATCCGCCAGTTGGCGGGCGCGGGGCTGCCATCTGAAACTTCGGGCTGTGTTTTTGCATTTGGGGCATTTGGAGGGGCGAGAGGGGGGGCGAGAGGGGGCGCCGTGTTTTTTTCGCCGCGCGCCGCGCTTGCGTTGCGCGCGTTGGAAAACGCTGCACGGAAATGGAGCATGTCCAGGTAGGTGTTGGTCCCTTTTCTGGGCTTGCTGCGTTTCCTTCGCTCGCGTTAGGGTTTCTCCTGGGTCGCCTTCCGCCATCGATCGAATGCCACTTAGCACTGCCAGCACTTGCAATCATCTTGAATGCATCATCATTCATGGTATGTATTTCCCTCGCCTTCTTGTTGCTATCTCATCTGGATATCGCGTCGGGCACGGCCCCTCGGTCGAAATGACGCGTCGTGCCATGGTTCTGCTGGTAGTTGTGCTGGCAGTTGTGCTGGTAGTCGTGCTGGTGGTTGTGTTTGTGGGTGCGTTTGTGGTTGCGCTGGTGGTTCTACGGCTTGGATTGCTGATGGTTCTGCTGGTGGTTGTGCTGTTGGTTGTGTTGGTTGGTGTGCTGGTCTTTGTGTTTGTGGTTGTGCTGGCTTTGCGATGGAAATTGTGCTGGCGGTTGTGCCGGTGGATGTGCTATCTACTGTGCTAGCGGTTGAGCTGGTAGTTGTGTTGGTGATTGTGTTAGTGGTTGCGTTGGTGGTTGCGCTGGAGATTTTGCTGGTGGGTTTGCCAGAGGTTGTGCTGGTAGTTATGCGGGTGGTTGGTCTGATTGTTGTGTTGATGTTTGTGCTGGTGGTCGTAGTAGTGGCTGCGCTGGTGGTTGTACTGGTAGTTATGCTGGTGGTTTGGCTTGTGGCTTTGCTGGTGGTAGTTGTGCTACTCGTGTCGATGGTTGCTCTGGAGATTGTGGTAGTGGTTGTGCTGGTGTTTGCTCCGGTGACTGCTCTGTTGTTTGTGCTTGTGCTTGTGTTTGTGTTTTTGCTGATGGTTGTGCTGGTAGCAGTGCTGTTGGGTTGCTTCTGGTAAGTCTACTGTGATGACGGTGGTGGTACTGGCCCCGCTGGTGGTAGAGTGGTGATGATGCCGATGGGTTTGCTAGCGGTTGTGCTGGAGGTCGTGCGGGTGGAGGTGCTGGTGATTGTAAAGGTGGTTGTGCTGGTGGTCGAGTTGGTGGCTGTGTTGGTGGTTGTGCTCGTAGTTTTGCTTGAAGTATGTGGGGGTAGTAGTAGGGATTCACTGGCAGGTACCTTGCGAGTACTGGAGGTGGTAGTGACGTTGCGCAGTCCGCTAGCGCCAAGGCAATTTGTTCAGTCACGGGTGGGCAGAAGTCAATAGGTAGGTTGCATGTGGCTGGTATGTTGTGTGTCTGGCTTGGCGTGTGCTAAGCAGTATCGTTTGCTTCTGTTGTGTCTGGTTTGAATGGCTGTTGTGAGGGTGCCGAGGTGTAAGGTCAAGCGTCGGGTTGATGCATTCGCGGTCCTGCCAAATGTTCACATATCGAAGGCGAGGTGTTTGTCAGTGATGCTAGCTGCCACATGTTAAGTACGTTGGACTGCCACTTGGGTTGGTGCGTTATAAGAATAGCTGATGTGGTGTGCTGAGCTACATGTCAGAGCAGCGTCATGCTTTGTATCCGCTTGTTGGAAGTACGCGTACGGATGAGCTGCTGTAGAGGTTGATCAGTTTTTCCACATAGTTCGATGGGGGATCTGTATTGTTCAGTTGGTGTCCATGTGTCGTGGGGTGGTCGACCTTGGATTAGCCGCGTGCGGGTATTCCAGTTCGATCGTTGAATCGTTGTCGCAGCCTATGCTGATGCATGTGTGTCAGTGTGTTATGAGGTTGTGCTCAAGGTGTACTGAATGTCGTAGGCTGTGGCTTGTTGTTGGAGAGTGGTAGCCTGCTGATTGCTGGGTTGTCGACCGTCGTTGTTTGTGGGTAGGTCGTACGGGATTCCGGTGCCATTGTTTGCTTTGATGTCTTGTCTGTCTTTCTGTTGTAGGTGTTGTCGTTTGTCCAGTGGCAGTGGTGGTATGTTCTGCATGCAGAAGCTGCAGCAGCGGGCTACTCTGTAACGCAGGTGCGTGAGGAGTCGTTGTCGAGTTGGGAATTGTAGGTTGCAACGCTTGAAGGTTCTGTCTTCTACTCTGCTGGTGATGTCGTCTTGCTGCGGGTGGTGCTTAGTGCGGTGTGCTCTCCAGTCTCCAATGGTCTTGGACGTGTGTCCACACTCGTAGCAGAAATGTACGCTTTGCGATGTGGGTTCTTGTTGTGTTATCTCGTCGTTGTCGTAGCATAACTGTCCCATGTTGTGCTGCCAAACCTTTGTGCACTGCTGGTCCATGTAGCTGACGGTTGTCCAAGATTTGGGCGCATCGTGTACGCATTCAATCCAACGCATTGTGCTGCATCGGCGTTGTAGATCGTCTGGTTGTGTGGTGGTCATTGCTATCCTCGTCCTCCTCCTCCTCCTCCTCCTCCTCCTCCTCCTCCTCCTCCTCCTCCTCCTCCTCCTCCTCCTCCTCCTCCTCCTCCTCCTCCTCCTCCCCCTGCCTCCACCTCGTCCTCCTCCTGGCAGTGCGCGGCGCCCGACCCCCCCTCGGCGGAGGAGGCGGAGGTGGACGCGTCCAAGCTGGAGGGTGGCACCCTGCCCTTCCAGAACGCGGGCATGCCACCCTCCGGCTTCCCAGACATGACCACGCTGGACGTCGCCGTCGTCGTCATCGTCGTCGACGTCGTCTTCGTCGTCGTCGTCGTCGTCGTCGTCCCTCGTCGTCGTTGTGGTCGTTGTCGTCGTGCTCGTTACCGTCGTCGTCGTCGTCGTCGTCGTCGACGTCGTCGACGTCGGTCGTCGTCGTCGTCGTCGTCGTTGTTGGCGTCGTCGTCGTCGTCGACGTGGTCGTCGTCGTCGTCGCCATCCTCATCGTCGTCGACGTGGTCGTCGTCGTCGTCGTCGTCGTGGTCGTTGTCGTCGTCGTCGTTGTCGTCGTCGTCGACGTGGTCATCGTCGTCGTCGTCGTCGTCGCCATCCTCAGCGTCGCCGTCGGAGACAACGACGCGGATGGGGAGGCGGATCTGCAGGCAGCTGGCCTGCTCAGCTCTGTCGCGGCTTGTGTTGTGTCCCCACACATCTCGGCCGCTCCCCCGGGGCTGGCTCTCCTTGGCTATCCTTATATTTGCCCTGGCCGTTTTCTTCTGACAGCTTTTACCTTGGCGTGGTCGGCATCCTTTCTCTCGCGAGCGCCTGGCGTGCTTTGACGCGGCGTTTTTAACTCGGCGCCCAGGATGGCGAGCTGAGCTCTCCGCCCCCAGCCGTTCTCTGACGGCCCCGGGCCCCGAGTCGGACCTCCCTCGGGCGGGTGGTGATTAAGGGGCCTTTAAAGCAGGGCCCTCCAAAAGGCGTCCTTCCAAAAGGGGCCCTTAAAGCAGGGCCCTTAAAGCAGGGCCCTCCAACAGGCGTCCTTCCAAAAGGGGCCCTAGAAGGGCCCTAGAAGGAGCCCTTTCGGGCGGGCTTCCTTTTGGCCCCTACTCGCTCCAAAAGGGGCCCACACGGGCCCTGACGGCCCCCGGGGCCCTCAGGGGCAACGATAAGGGGGGGATAGGCATAAGGCAGGATGCATCGACCGACTCCTTAATTTGCCCATTGATCGCCGATAGGGGTCTGTGAGCCTCAACCCGCATAGGAAGATGCGGCTTCGCTATCGGGGGCCGATCGCCGATCTATCGACGATGCATCGCCGATTCCAGGTCGATGCAGCCCTCCCTGCGCCAATCCCCCCCGCTCGTTGCCCCTCAGGCCAGAGGCTGGCCTCCCCGGAGTGTCACATTGCTGGTGACAAGGCCGTCTGTGGGTGTCTTCGAGCCGTGGGGCACGGTCGTGAACCTTGGGGGGCAGCGTGTCGCGCCGCCGGTTTTGGCCCACCACACCTCGGCGCGACACGCTGTCCACTTGCCTTGGCATCGCTCGGACGTGTGCATTTTTTCTCGGCGAGGACCATCGAGGAGCATCCTTGATCATCTGGCGGAAAAACCACGCACGAAACTGGAAAAAACACATGGAATGGACGTCCAAGCGATGGCGAGTTACTGGTCCCCGAGCGTCAACGGCCAGAGCCTTTCCGAGCCTCCCGCCCTGCGGAGCGGAGCGGCACGCTATATCCGCTCCCCAGGGGATGGCGTGTCGCCGGGGCCGCCGCAGCGGCACGCTGTGCAAAAGTTCCTGACCGTATCTTGGGGCGCGGACACCGCCGCCGCCGCCAAGCGGGCAGCCGCCAGCGGGAGGTGCCTCGGAGGTGACAGCGCGGCCTTCGGCGGCTCCCGATTCTCTGCGGGCTTCTCTTCGAGGTTTGCTGGGGCCGTCCCCGGGCCCTCCGTCGGGGGCCCGCGAGAAGTGGCCAGTCCGCCGCGGAAGCCAGGCGCGGGGAGCGTGGCGGAGAGTGCTGCGGCCCACGCAGCGGAAGGAGCGCTACGTCGGAGAGCGGGGGATCGATGTGCAGCGTTCCAGCGACACCTCAAAGGGAAGGTCCTCGCCTTCGACGGGCGGAGAAGTGGCCATCTCGCCCTCAGCGGGGGCCGGTGGAAGGCTTGCGGAAGACAGCGAGGAGGTACAGCAAGTGTTGCCGCTGGACCAAGGGAGGGGCTGGGCTTGCTGTTGTGAGTTTTCTGTCCTGGGGTTTCAGCGCTTCGTTGGGGACTGGATGGGGGCTGGCGTAGGAAGGGTTCCTCAGGTCAAGACTCACCGAGCTGATGAGGGCACCTGGAGGCTAAACCTCACGCCTCGGGGTCCATTTGCCCAGCTAAGTCGAGTTTGCGTGGCTCCCCCCCTTGCGATGCAAACGGCGTCCGTGGCCCATCAGACAATTGACACTGCTTCTTCTGCCTCTCTTTCCTCGGAGGAGGGGGCCGAGGGGAGGAGGAGGAGGGGGGGTGCACCAGGAAGGTTTGGCTATTTCGGGTCCCCCTCTTGCGGCGAAAAAAATGCCCATCGTTCATTTACCCTTCCCCCTCCCCCGCCTCCGAGGAGGAGGGGAGGGGGTATAGGAAGGGGGAGATTGCTGGAGGAGGGCTCGGGAAAGCTCTGGCTGCGAGGTTAGGCTGCGGGTGGGCCGCATGAGTCCTGCCGCCTTCAGGGCACAGAGAAGGGCCTGGCTATCAGGTCTTGGCTGCGGCCAGGGTGCCCCAGTGACGCGGCGTGTGTGGTTCTGGCGCCCCCTTGCGCACGACCACCTTTGCCCTCTGTGTCCTCGCGTCCTGGCTCCTCCCCGGACGCGCGATGCCTTGATTGTTCAATACGATGTCCCCGAAAGTCCCGACCCTCTCCCCAGGGCCTGTTTTTCATCCCGAGCCGTTTCTGACGGCCCCAGAGCCTGGCGAAAGTCCCCAGAGGCAGAGGCCGAACATGAGGAACACTTCACTGCTTTGTTTTCTCAAGACGTTGAATGTCTGGGGCTGTGTCTCCTGCTTCTGTGCAGGCAGCCAGGGGTCTTGGCTGCAGCCATGGGGGCCCTGAGGCCCCCCTGGCAGTTTATGGCCCCGGGTCTCCCTGCCCCCGTCCGCGCAGCGCAGGACCATCTGCACGAGGCCGCGCTTCTGCACAACCTGCGGGCGCGCTTCTTCGCAGGCAGCTGCCCCTACACCTACACGGCCGACATCGTCATCGCCGTGAACCCGTACCGCTGGCTCTCGGGGCGGGGGGGGCTGTAGGGTAAGAGCAGGAAGGTTGTCATTGTGCTCTGCTTATGTGCAGAAACGAGACGCTACGTTGCAAAATCAGGCGGCGTTGGCTCCATGTTAAGCCCCGATACGTGGAACTGGCGCCCACGCGCCAGATCCGCGGATCTATAATCCATAGTAGCTCACGCCCAGATTATCCTGCTCGTCCTGTAGTTGACCAGCCTTCGGTGGCAGGGGTGCCAAAGCGGTGCGACGCGTGAGTGCGTAGAGTGTGTGAGCGCGCGCGCGTGTGTGTATATATATATATATATGTGTGTGTGTGTGTGTGTGTGTGTGCGTGCGTGCGTGCGCGTGCGTGTGTTCATGATTGCGTGCGTGCGTGCGTGCGTGCGTGTGTGTGTGTCTGTTTGTGTGTGTGTGTGTGTTTTGCGTGTGCGTGTGAATTGTGAATGTGTATGTGTGTGTGCGTGTTTTTCTGTGTATGTGTGTGTATGCGTGTGTGTGTGGTGCGTGCTCGCGCGCGTGTGCGTGCGTGTGTGTGTGTGTGTGTGTGTGTGTGTGTGTGCGTGCGGTGCATGTCCGTGTGTGGTGCGCGTCTGTGTGTGCGCGTGTGTGTGTGTGTGTGCGTGTGCGTGCATGTGCGCTTTTGTGTGTGTGCCTGTGGTGCATGTCCGTGTGTTGTGCGTGTCTGTGTTTGCGTGTGTGTGTGCGTGTGTGTGTGTGTGTGCGTGTGCGTGCATGTGCGCTTATGTGTGTGTGTGTGTGTGAGTGCGCGTGTGCGTGAATGCGTGTGTGCGTGAATGTGTGTGTGTGTGTGCGCGCGTGTGTTCCAGCCCGTCAGCGTACCACGCGCTCGTTACCCACAGCGCAGGAGGAGAACAATGGTGTGTGCGTGCGTGGGGAAGGCAGCCCCAGCAGCCCCCAGCTGGAGCCAAATATTTGACTCGTCTGAGTGGTACGGCTCAGCTTGCGCGTGCCTGAGACCAGAACCGCTCCTGCCCTGCCCCGCGCAGCCAACCGTCTGGCCCTCCGGCGCCCTGCTCTCTCCCAGCGTGGGCCTGGGAGCCCCCAGACGCCTTTCAAGACTTGGGAGCAGGCGCTGGCAGCCAGCAGAATCCCCAGACGCGCTTGCTGAGTGTCCAGCTGACGTGTTGCGATATCCCCCTTACCCCTCCTCTTCTTTCTATCCTTCGCGGCCGTGGGCACTTGTTTGTCGGGAGCTTCGAAGTTACTGGACGGAGCACTCGAGGTTGCTTCACGGAGGTGCTCTGTCGTAGCAAAAATCCCCAGACGCGCTCGCGTCGTTGACGGATCGCGACGCGAGGTTTTGGGCCAGCGGTCTCTGCGCCGGGCCCCCAGGGCCGTCAAGAGAAGCCCGCCCCAGGGACGAAGAGGCAGCCCCAGGGAAGGGTCGAGGCTTCGGTCGGCGGCGAGCGCGGGGGGGCAGTGAGAAGGAGAAGGTCTCCTCGGAAGGCGGCGGGACGTCTCAGAAGCCCTGGCGCTTTCTGGGAAGTTTTCGGCGTCTTCGGGGGGAAGGCTTGGACGACTTCCCAGAAGGCCGGAGGACTCCCGAGCCTCCTGAGAAGGCACGCCCCCTCTCGTTTCCCCGCAGGCTCGCCGACGCTTCGGGGGACCGCGCACTCAAAGCTCAAGGCGTCGCATGCCTGGGGTCAGGACTCGGTCGGAGGAGACCTCGTCGAGCCGACGGCGGCCCGAATCCGCTCAAGCTCGGTTCCTTTGGACTCCGTCCGGGCCCGTTTTCCGAGGCGGATCCAGCCGCGGCGACGAGAAGCTTCCAGGAGGCCACGAAGAAGGACGAACCGCCCCAGGGAGGGCCTCCCCGCTGTCTCGATTGACCCTCCTCCCGAGGACGGAGGGTGGATGGGGTGGAGTGGGATCTGTACCCTGCGCGTTTTCCCTCCAGGTTTCCGGACCTGTACACGGACGAGAAGCGCAAGGACAGATGGCCATCCAGGTTGCGGCCCAGCCTGCTGCTCCGTCGCCAATCTTGACGTGGCCGGCTCTACCTTTGGCTGACCGCGTCGCTTTGCGTATTACTTTCTGGGCATTTCTCGCCTCCCTCCTCCCTGGCTCCTCCCCCATCCCCTCTACACCTCCATGGATCGAGTATGTGAACTCTCCCCTGCTCTACCCCTCTTCTTGTCCTCCTCAAACTCTTGTTCTCCTCTCCTCCCCATCCCCCCATCCCCCTCCTGTTCCTCATCCTTTTCCCCTTCTCCCGCTCCTCCTCCCTCACCTTCCTTCTCCTCCTCTTCCTCCTCCTCCTCCTCGCCCTCTCCTCCCCCCTCTCAGCGAGTCGTAATCTCCTCCTTCCCTTCCCCATTCTTCTCGCCCCTTCTCCCTACCCGGAGTGCGCCGGGCTCGGAGGCGGGTCTTCCTCCTTTCTCCAGCGTGTCAGCGTCGCATGCCGCTGTTGTTCTGTGCCGTCTGCGCGCGGGGTGCTGGCGACTCGATCGTGGCTTCGGGAGCGCGGACTCATCGCCCTTCGTGCGGCATCGTGGCCTCGGGACAGGGGGGGGGGGGGGGAAGCGTCCGGGAGCCTGCGGGCAGAGGCGTGCGGGCCCCCTTTACTAGAAGACAGATGCCCTGCCAGGCAGCACTTGGCATTCTGTACTCCGCCTCAAGGTGTGCCAGGTGGCAACGGTGGGGGATCATACAATATCCACGTTGAGGGATTACTGAGCGATGGGTCCGCCTTGAAACGGGATCCCCTTTCTCATCCGCGTATCAGTTTCCTGCTTCTAGAACGACTGTGCGCTTCGCTAAGGCGAGAGCCCCATGTTGAAAAGGAACCGCCCTATATCGTTGTAGCTAGTGCGCGGCGTTGAGGCAAGAGGCGCATTTCGAAACCGAACCAGCCTCAAAACTTGAAGCTGTAGTATATTTCACTGAGGATGTGTGTGGCGCTTAGGGGATAACCACGTTTTGAACACGACAGTCCTTCCATTATTCCAGCTATTGCGAACTTGTGTGACGAATGTGCGCGGCGTTAAGGCGAGAGTCGCATTTGGACCCCCGCCCTATATCCTTGAGCCTTGAAGCTGTCGCAAACCTTCAAGACAAATGCGCGGGGCGCTGAAGCGGGAGCCGCATCTCGGATATGAACCGCCCTCCATGGTTGAAGCCGTTCGACCTTTTTTGGGGCCCAGGCTGCTAGACTACAGGAAGGTCTCGAGCGCAGCGCCCCCGCTCGGCCTTCGGACACGTCTGGTGGTGCGGCAGGGGGGGAGTTGTTGATAAGGAAGAGCAGCGGGTTACAGTCGAAACCGATAGGGATGGGTAACCTTCCCAAGGGTACATTTGCATCTTTTCCCTTCGCCCCATCCTTGGCCACGTTCGTTGGCCGCGTCCCGCTCGAAAAGTGTCGGCATGCCCTTCCAAGACCCTTGCATCCTCATTGTGTGTCAGTTTTGGTTGTAGGAGGCGGAGGAGGCGGAGGAGGAGGAGGAGGAGGAGGAGGAGGAGAAATAGAAAAGGGCCATAGAGCGACCAGTTTCCCCCGCCCTCTCCAACGTCGCGCCATGCCGCGGCGGCAAGGAAAGTGTTCGGCATTTGGCGACGCTCACACATCGGTCCAGCGTTTCCGCCTTCGACCCGTGCAGATATCACGCAGTAGTGCGACGCCACGGCCGCCAGCCCCTCAGACGGGCTCCGATCACTGCAGGGTGAGGAGGGAGGAGGGGGAGAAAGAGGAGGGAGGAGGGAGGAGGGAGGAGAATGAGGAGGGAGGAGAATGAGGAGGAGGAGGAGGAGGAGGAGGAGGAGGAGGAGGAGGAGGAGGAGGAGGAGGAGCAGGGACGAGGGTGGGGGAGAGGGGTCCCGGAAAAGGGCACCCTCGAAGGAGTACCTGGTCTTTGACCGCTCCAAGCTGTCCCCCCACGCGTACGCCACCTCCTCGGCCGCGTACTCGGGCCTGCAGGAGACCAAGCAGAACCAGGCAGTCGTCCTCCCTCCTCCTGCCCCTCAGCAGATCTCCGACAAGGTGAGTCGAGTATGGCTGGAAAAGGGCTCCGTAGAAGAAACATGCAGCTTGTTTTTTGGTCCACAGACAGCGTGAGTCGAGCATGTCTGGAAAGGGCTCCAAGGGAGGAAAGGGGGGCCCTGGATGTTCCTCGCTCTCCTCGGGCCACACGGGGCCCTCCACGGGCCAGGGGGCCGTCAGGAGACTGCTCCGGGCGAAGAGCCCGCCCTGGGGAAAGCCCTTGGGGTCTTCGACCTGCTTCCCTCCCTCCCCCCCTGTCCTCCTACCTCCTCCCCCTGCTCCTCCTCCCCCTCCTCCTCCTCCTCGTGACCCACTGACCCACTGATGGCGAGAGACTCATCCTGACGCAGCCATCCCCCCTCAGGGCCAGTTGGCCCTGGGGGGGCTCCTCCTCCTCCTCCTCCTCCTCCTCCTCCTCCTGCTGCTCCTCCTCCTCCTCCTCCTCCTCCTCCTCCTCCTCCTCCTCCTCCTCCTCCTCCTCCTCCTCCCTACGGCGCCGCGGTTACGTTTGCCGCGGGCGCAATGTGATCGGAGCAGGCAGGCTTCCCCGCCGCCCCTCAAACAGGGCGGCTCCCCCGTGGGTGGCCGGCTGTCTGAAACAGCAGCTGCTTTGGGGGGTGGGGGCTACCAGGGAGCTTGGCGCCGAACACGACGAAGAGGGCGTCGGCCGCGAGCGCCGCCCAGCTCCAGGGCCACCGCCGCCGCCAGGTGCAGCCCACCGCTGCGGCCGCGCACTCCAGCGGCGTTGCAGGGCAGCTCCCGCGGCGCCGCTCTCTGCGCGCCTGCCAGCGCCCAGCCCAGCCGGCTAGCCCACGCAGCACCTTGCCAGCGCGCTCAGCCACCGCGGGCGCGCCCGCGGGCTCAGCGCAGCCTCCCTCAAGCTCATTGGCCGCGACAGGAGCGAATGGCCTACATGGGGGCGCTACGTGTAATCTTTCTCGAACGTCGTGGCAGGCGATCGGGGCGCCAGGATATGGTCAGGAGCGTTTGCTTAGCGTGTCGCACCGCCGGTTCTGGCCCACCACGCCTTGGCGCGAGACGCTAAGCACGTCGCAGTCACCAACCATCACCGCTCCGAGCCTTTCCTAGCTCCCCGTCCCGCAAATTAGATCGACATGCCACCAGCTTGCAAGGCATCGTGTGTCGCAGGGGCTGCCACCGCGACACGTTCACTCAAAGTTCATGTCCGTATGTGTACTTGTGCTGTTCACTCCCTCGGACATCCCCCTCCTCTGCAGCCGCCGGTTGATTCAGGCAATCCTCGTGTCGGGGGAGTCGGGCGCGGGCAAGACCGAGACGGTCAAAATTCGAGAGGCCGATTCATGCCCCCTCCGCGGACCCCTACAGGGAGGGCAGTTCGATGATCTCCCGCGCCCTGAGGCACTGGAAGGATAAGGAGGGAAGTGGGAGGAGGAGGAGATGGAGGAGAAGGGTGCAGGGGGAGGTAGCTGGAGGGAGAGGGCGGAGGAGGATTAAAAGGAGGACTGGGAAGAGCAGCATCAGCAGCAGCAGCAGGAGGCAGGTTTTGTACGCCTTCACGGGCACTTCGGCGACTGGGACGCGGAGGAGAAGGAGGAGGAGGAGGAGGAGGAGGAGGAGGAGGAGGACGGAGGAGGACCAGGGGAGCGGGGTCAACACAGTTGTTTCATTGAAGGGCCAATTTTTTAATTCCTGGGTCAAACAAAATTTTTCCGCGTCAAAGCATTATTTCTAGGAGCTGTCGCGTGGGACATCCTTCAATAATCTTTCGGGAATGACTGGTCGATCGGTCGATTGGCTGGTTGGTTGGTTGGTCGATTGGTCGGTCGATTGGTTAGTTGGTTGGTTGGTTGGCTTGCTGGCTGGTTGGTTGGTTGGTTGGTTTTCCAGGGTCCAAAAAATTCATTCCGGATCCAACAAATTATTTCCGGGAGCCCTCGCGTGGGACATCCTCCAAACATCTTTCAGGAATGATTGGTCGGTTGGTCGGTTGGCTGGTTGGTTGGTTGATTGGCTGGTTGGTTGGTTAGTTAGTTGGTCTGTTCGCTGGTTCGCTTGTTGGCTAGCGGTTGGTTGGTCGGTTGGTTGGTTGGTCGGTTGTCTGGTCTGTTGGTTGGTTTGTTGGTTGGTTGGTTTATTGGTTGGGGTTAATTTTTTGATTCCAGGGTAACAAGAATCATTCCTGGTCCAAAACATATTTCAAGGGGCCGTCGCGTGAGACATCCTCCAAACATTCGTCGGGAATGTCTGGTCGATTTGTCGGTTGGCTGGTTGGTTGGTTGGTTGGTTGGCTGGCTGGCTGGCTGGCTGGTTGGTTGGTTGGTTCGTTGGTAGTTCCCAAGAGCTCACAGAGGCTCCCAAGATCTCACGACCCCTCACCAATAGGCGACCAATCGAGGGAGCGAGGAAGCGGATGGGGCAGGGCGGGGGAGAGGGACCCCTCTCGCCGCCGTCGTTGTCGCCGCCGCCGCCGTCGCCGCCGTCGTCGCCACCGTCGTCGTCGTCGTCGTCGTCGTCGTCGTCGTCGTCGTCGTCGTCGTCGTCGTCGTCGTCGTCGTCGCCGGTCGCCGGTCGTCGGTCGTCGGTCGTCGGTCGTCGTTCGTCGCCGTCGTCGTCTCCGTCGTTGTCGTCGTTGTCGTCCGCCGTCGTCGTCGTCGTCGTCGTCGTGGTCGTCGTCGTCGTCGTCGTGGTCGTCGTCGTCGTCGTCGTCGTCGTCGTCGTCGTCGTCCGTCGTCCGTCTCCGTCGTCGTCGCCGTCGTCGTCGTCGTCGTCGCCGCCTGGCGTCGTCTTCGTTATCGTCGTCGGCGTCGTCGTCGTCGTTATCGTCACTGTCATCGTGTTCTGGCCAGAGTCTGATCCAGATCGGCTCTCGGACATTTTCCAGGGTCCATCCTGGCAAGCTGTCCGACCTGCGCCAGCCGTTGGCGACGAGAACTTCTGGAAACGCCCACAAGCTCTCGAAACGATGACGTCGTCGCCGCCTGGCGTCGGCTTCGTCATCGTCGCCGCCCACAAGAATCCGGAGACCAACGCCTCCAATGTTGTGAATCGTGTATGACGTGGACCCCCGGAGGTCTGGACGTTTGGTTCCCTACGCCAAGTCCGTTTTTTGCATCTTGAGTTGCTTTTTAACGTTCCCAGGGCCCCTTGACGGCACTTCGAGGCCGAAAATGACCAAAAACGCCGTCTCGTTTGTTCAAAACATTGGAGGCGTGGGTCTGCGTCCTCGTCCCCGCCCCAAACATCTCGGGAGTCGCCGTCGTTGTTCGCCGTCGCCGCCCCGGCGCGGCAAGGGTGCGCGGGAGGAGGGGGGGGGGAGGAGGAGGAGGAGGAGGAGGAGGACGACGACGAGGAGGAGGAAGAGGAGGGAGGAGGAGGACGAGGGGGAGGAGGACGAGGAGAAGGGGGGAGGAAGAGGAGGGTGGAGCAGGAGAAGCTAGAGGAGCACGAGGGGGAAGAGCAGGAGGAGAAGATGGAGGAGGAGAAGCAGGATAACGAGGAGGAGGAGGAGGAAGAGGAGGAGGAGGGGGAGGAGGGTGGCATCGGCGTTGTACCCTTCGTCCCCCTGTTCCTCGGCCTCCCCTTCGCCGTTCCAGCTCAAGCCCCCTTTACATCGAGGCCAAGATTGGTCCCGGCCTTCCAGGGCCTCAGCACGTGGACGCTAACCGTTACCAACGCTAACAACATGGTGGCTGAGATCAGAATTCGCCTGGAGTCCACGGGGGCCGAATTTCTCCAGGCGATACCGACGCAGCGGAGATGGATAGTGATGGGGCTCACGCGCAAACCGCAGGTCTCGGGTGACCCAAATATTCTTCACGCGTCAAACATACTTCTACCTTGTCCCCCGTGCCTTTTTCCAATGTGCTTTCACACTGAGTACCTCGGACCCGCATCCCCCGCAGCTTTTTCGAAACACACAGCGCAGAGCTTACCGCAGCAAGCTGCACTGGAAAGCCAAGAGCACATATAGCTTGCGACCCTGAGAATTTGAACCGCGGCTGGCAACCTGCCAGCTTCGCTTAGCCGCGCACAAAAGGAGGCCAGGTGCAGGGGGCGAGGCGTCCTAGAAGGAGAGTGTTTCTTAAAAGGCGCCGACCGCCACCCTAAGAAACCAGAGACGCGCCGCTTCTTAGAACCGCCCCAAAAGCTTCTTAGAAGCATAGAAAGTTCCTTAGACGCAGAATCGCGCCGACAACAACTCTACAGATGCAGCCGCCTGCTTCTTAGAAAGGGGTGCCCGCGCCTTCTGAGAAGGTTGGAGCTTCTAGGAAACCTTGCGCCCTCACCCTGGCACCCTTTGCACACGGCCGATTCGCGTTCCCCCCAGGCACGCGGCCAGCGTTGCCAGCCTTTGGGCTTGGCTGCCCCCCTCTCCACGACCCTGCAAGACGGCGCCAGGCTGGGGGTGCAGCGGCCGCAAAAGAGGAATTCCAATTGGGCAGGCGCCACGAACGGCTACGGCTGGATGGTTCCCCCGCGTTTCGTCGTCGCCATGGGAACGGCGAGTGCCAGACTGGGCCGCGCCATGGCGGCGACGACTGCGGGCGAGTGATCTAGTTTTACGGCTGCTCTTCGTGCGCGCTGGACAGGACCTCACCGTCTTTCTCGCCATCCTCGGCCAGGCCCCGCTCCAGAGAGAAAAGCCCCCCGCCCACGCGGAGATCCTCGCGAAGAGCTCCGCAAGCAGCTCCGGATCCAGCGACACGTCGCCCAGCCCAGACGCCACAGCGACCGCCCAGGACGCGCGGGAACCGGGGCCGCGGCCAGCCCTCGAGGCAGCGCCAGCAGCAGCGGAGTCAGCCGACTCCGGCCTGCCCGAGAGCGTCGCGGCGCTCCAACAGAAAGCCGCTGACGCCGAGACCGGGCCCGCGAGCTCATCCGATGCTGGAATCGCGCGCGGCGGGAAACGCCCGCCGGCCGGGCGCGTGCGCTCCGATCGGAGAGCCGGGTTGCGTCGATGCTCGACGCGGCGCGCGCTCGACGACAGCGCGCGCACGCGCTCCCGTTTCGGACATCTCTTCGCCATTGCGCGCGATTCCGCGGCATCCTGGCAGCCGTCGCGAGTCAGGCTGCAGCGCGCCCAGCAGGACGAGCAGCGCGCCCAGCAGGACCTCGTCACCCGAGCTCTGCGGCGGTGCCAGAGGCTGAGGCCCCGCGGCCTCGAATGGTTGGCCTGCCCAGCCCTGCTCAGCCGCCGCCCGGCCCCTCGCCCGGCCCTTCGCCCGGCCGCCCAGCGGCCGATTACAACGCCCAAATTCTGAGCCTGCGTCCACTTGCCAATTTTGGCACACCCCTCACACGGATGGTGTCCCCGGGGTCGGAATGTTTTTTTTTTTTACCGGAAATAAAGATTTGTTTGGGCCGGTATTACAGTTTTTTGACCGAGACAAGATATTTTTTGGTGTAAGCTAGGAGGAATGATGCTGCAAGGCACCATCCTGTCCCAAGTCCTCTCCTCACTAATCCCGACCGGCATTCTTGTGATTGCGTGTGCGCCCTTTTTTGAAAGACGAACGCCGCGCGGCCCTGAAACTCATGCGGTTCTGTGGTGTGGTCCTTCATAGAAGCCTCAGATGGGCACGCAAGTCCTTGCGTTTTGGTGATTTTCGTTTGGATTTTGCCAGACGTGGTCGACATTCGGACGAATTCTGGACGGAAATTGGGCGATAGAGTGAAGAGGGGAAATCGGCATCTGGGCGAAATCTGGTCGAGCTCACGTTTATGATAGGGCCGCCGAGGTCCACGTAGGTTCCCATAAAGGCTCACCCAGGTTTTGCAGGAATTTGCTCGCCATCGCTTGATTGCGAATTGTGCAACAAGTTGGTGTCATAGATATAGTTCAGGGGACTGTTCAGAGACGACCCCACTTTTACAAGGAACCTTCCTGCATCCGCGCCGCTGTTGTATAACTTTATATGTAAGGTGGTAGTTGGCCTCCTTCCCACTGTGGCGACCCCGTTGGGTGTTTCAAGAGCCTGGGCGGACATTGGTTATGCCGCGCTCCTCTCCAGCTTTGTGATATGTTCACCCGTGGTGGTTTGCCTCGGTGCAAGCTTGGAGCGCACGCGAGGCTGCCTGCTCTGCCCTCCCATCGCCCCCGCAGGTTTCCTCCTCCTCCTCCCCAGACAGTGCGCCGGACAAAAAGAGCTTGCAGGGTGATCGTTGTTGTTTCGACCCTGGCGGCAGAAGACCTCATGCTGCACACCTGGTGAGAAAATGGAGCATGCTGCTGGGTTGTGCATACGGGGGCCGCAGGAAGTCAATGCGGCATGCCATGCGGGGGCTACGTGGGAAGCCATGCCAGAGACCATACGAGAGACTAGACGGGAGACCATGCGGGAGACCATACAGGGAGCCACACGGGGGATGGACCCGGAAGAGCTCACACCCGTCCTTCGAAGCACCGCGCATGCATTACGCAGGCCAGCGGTTTAGGCAATAACGTTTCAGGCGATCGACCGATTTTGATAGCGATCTGCCATCCATCCGTTTTGCGTTCGCTTTTGTAAGGCGAGCATGCGCGGCCCCAGGGCAAGAGCCCCACTTTGAAAACGATTCGCCTTCCACCCATGGAGCTATTGTTGTTGAGACGGGAGTGCGTGACGCCATGGCGAGAGCCCAGGCGGTTTGCCATCCGTCGTTGTATTTGTTGATTGCGAAGGCCTTACGGCTGGTGCCGCCGACCCTGAAGATGAGGACGCTGACCACGACTGGGTACATAGAAGGAGGAGAAGTAGGACGAGCAGGGGGAGGAGCCGCATGAGGAGGAGGGTCAGGAGGATGGGGAGAAGGAGGTGGAGGCAGAGGTTCAGGGGAGGGGGGGGGGGACTGGAGGGGGTAGTTGTGAGGGGGGAGGGACCTCGGGCGGGGGTGGTAGTGGTGCCCGCAGATGTTGACGGAGAAAGGACGTGATCTCGTGAGGGTCTTTGGGACATTCTTGGCTCGTCCCGGGGCTTTGTTGGGCCGCGGGATGCCCAGGGGTGGGTCGTCGTATCTGACCCAGGACCCCCCCCCGAGACCCCTCCCCGGGATCCCCCCCCCCGGGGCGTGGAAGGCATGAAATGGACGGGGCTTCCTTTCGATTCAATGACGACGTGGCTCAATTTTGTGAACGCGACATCATTGCTCAATTTCCTTTTGCTTCGCCACTTGAGGGGTAGGCCTGGGAAAGGGGAAGGAGCGACGACGACGACGAGGGGGCAGACAGGAAAGCCTCAGAGGTGGCAGAGCCTAAAGCCCCTTCCACGCGCCGGCACAGGGTCGGCGGACTTGTTCAAGACGAGTGTGCGCGGCGCCAGGGCGAGAGACTCAAGCAACGAATGCCATCCAGTCTGGCACCAACTTGAGAGGTGCATTTAAGCATCGATGTGCCTTTCGGTCGCATAACTGTTTGAGTTTTTGTGAGGTGGGTGCGCGACGACATGGCGAGAGCTTCATTTTGAAATCGATTCGCCCTCCAACCGTGGAGCTGTGGGAGATTGCTTAGACGTGTGCGAGCGGTACCCGAGCGAATTCTTCATGTTGAAAACAAGTTTGTGTACGTGCTGCAGCTTGCAAGCTTGAAGTTTGCAATCGCTGAGGAAAGGCGGATTGCTCGGCCCGCCCTAACGACGTGTCTGGTGGGGAGGAGCCACGAGGAAGCGCGATGGAGGAGGATAACAATGGTTTGGGATGTCGTTGTTTCGCGGGGGTTCCAGGAATCCAGGGACTTCAGGGAACCTCTGGGGGCCTGGATCATGCCCCTTCCCCCCCTTCTAATTTCATTGTTGGCCCCTGGTGCATCACGCCTTCTCACCCAGGGCAGGGGGGGGGTAGGCGGGTTTTGA